AAAGGTACTCCTAGTATAAGTAATAACCGTAGGCATCCATAGATGTTCATCAACTACTAGTGCTAATCAGCTGGGATTCGGAATGGTTAGTCCCGTCTAGATATCCGGTTGAACTGGGATAAACAGGACAATTTACACAGAATGTACTAATAAATCGTCCTCGTGAATCGAGATACAAGTATTCATGTAAAGTATTCATGTAAGGTATTCATGTAAGGTATTTATGTATCATGTAAGCATATGTAAACGTACTCATGTATCATGTAAGCATATGTAAATGTACTCGTGTATCATGTAATGTACTGGTATAGACTCATGAATGAACTGACTCTTGTGTGATTCCTTGTAATAGGAATAAAGTTTTGTATCTTCTAACTATCCCTATGATAATTAATTTGAAGGTAATTAGTTGTTCAAGTTGGTTAATACACTCTTGCTACACAAGAGTGTGGGAAACTAAATGAAGGATGAAAAGTATAACCTCAATACATATATAAGAACATACGTGTATAAGTATAGTTTTATTCAAGAAGTAAAAATGGTTTTGTAAGACATTTAAGAGTTTTGAACAATAATAAAGAGTGACTTGATGTCATTTTAAATAAACATTTCAAAAGTAATACATTTGATAACAAAATATTTTTAAGATAGAAAACCACTTCATGCATCACATTTTGTAGTATGTGAAATCTGCTGGATGGAAACACAGTTATAAAATGAATATGAGTGATTTAATAACATGTTGTTTTCTACTTGTATTCCCCCCCCACCCATTAAAGCATTTAAAATCATTTAAAACATTGATTAAGGGGTATGAACTCACCTGTAGATGGTGGTTTGGATGTACTGAATGATGTAGGATAACTAGGTGACAAGTGAAGACTTGTTCACACTCAATGATCCTAGATAACATATAATCACACATATATGTATTCAATTAGACTTTAAACCACTAATTGACAAATTTAAGACATCCTAAGGCATGTAAAACACCTTATTTAAGTGCTACAAGTCATAAGGATTGCATCTAAGTGCTAAAGGACCTTGCTATTGTGTTTGGGGTTCAAGGGTAAACTCCTTTGGACTTTACGGATTTAATGACCTTTACCCTAGGAGTTTACGGTAGTAAACTCAAGGGTTTACATTCGTAAGCTCTAAACCTTTTGACCATATGATGATTTGAGGTTTTACAAGTCCTTTGAAGCATTTCTACTTGGTGGTTTGGACTTTAGAAGGGACTGGGGCAACAAAACACCCCTTGTTAGGTGTTTACGGCCTTATGGTCATTTCCCTTTGGGTTTACTACCTTTTTCCCATATGGAAATTTGTATTGTTATATTTTCAAGTCCCTAACTCATCAAGGTAATTGGCTATGTTAGTTTTTAAGACTAAGGAAGGAATATGGCCCAAATAAACACATTAAAGGGTGTTTACGGTTTTGGGACCTCCCCAAACCGTAAACACATGATCATGGCATTCTTTGGTGTTTTTAAAGGCTAAAACACATCAAGGGAAGGTTCAAACATGTTAAGGAAGGCTTAATCATCCAACTAGGGCTTAGATTAATGACTTAGGCACACTTTGGTGCCTTATATGGTGTTTATGGCCCAAGAACATTCTTGGACCGTGAATACCTTGTTCCATGTGTTCTTGGCATATTTTCTTGTTGATAACTTGTAATACTAACTCAATAAGGCTCAAGGATTGAAGTACTTACTATAAGGAAACTTGAAATATGCTAAAAGTCCAAGAACACTTAGTGTGTGTTCTTGGTGTTCTTGGTGTTTTTTGGAAATCTAATCAAAAACACAAAAGTGAATGGATGAATAGCTGCACAAACACTAGATTAAGTGTTTAATCAACTTGGAATGGATAGAACACTTACAAGTTTGAAGATCTTGAATTGTTTCTAGTTTGCTACTTGATAGGTTTTCTTGAGTTTACTCTTTTGGGGTGAAAAGTGTAAAGTGATTACTTGGGGAGTAAACTCATGTATAAGCATGAGTTCACGATTTTTGGAAGATTTTCCGACTCAAACGTAAAAGTTTGGCCGTGAACTTCTAAGACACGAGATGTTTGCGTTTTTCAAATTTCAAAACCCAAGACAACACTTTCTCTCACCCGTTCGTTTAAAGAATAATATTATAATAATCAAACGAACCCTAAATTTGTTAAAATCAGAAATAATGACATTAACTCATAATAAGAAGTGCTTGACTTCTAGGGTTTGACCGAATGGAAATTTCGGGTTGTCACATTTTTGCTTCCTGGTAGTCCTTCAGATTTCCTATTCTCATCAACTTAAGCTCTATTGGTTTCCCTTCCTTTGATTATATTTTCAACAAACTTGGAAACTTAGATGGCTGCCTCAAGAGTAGGTTCCTAAAGTACTGGCACATAGTACTCCCATGGTAGTCCCTTCACATATTTATCGGTTTTTGCCAGTTCATTAAGGACAACGCGCAAGGTGAACTCCATTTATTTTGTGAAAGCATTGGTAAACTCATTAATGGACATGTTGTCCTTCTTTAGTTCAAGAATTTTTTTTCTGGCTCTAACATGTTTGAGCTAAGAAGAACTTGTGCTTGAACTGCTCTAAGAATTCTTCCCATGTTAGCTACAGTGGCTTGTTAAGAATGATCGTCTTTCCTAATATGTTCCACCAAATTTGAATTGGTGCATATCATAAGTGGTCTAAAACTTCCCCACGCAACCACACTTAATGAAATCTAACTCCATTTCATAAATCCAGTCCATAATTGCAATTGGATTCTCCTTCCCGTTAATGATGTCAGTTCTCAAGTCATAAAGTCCTTATACTTGTATATGCTTTTGGCATCATCATTCATTCTGACTTCTGGTCCTTATGGAAGAGGAAGTGGTCCTTGATAACTTTTAGAGTTGGTATTTCCTTCCTGAACCATTCTTTATGAGTATGCATTGGTTCGTCGTTCATTGACTCACTAATTACTGGCTCGTTGATCACCAGATTTACGCCTTCGAGCATTTTCTAGTTCTTAATTCAGAATCTCCCTAAACTCACGTTATTGTTGATATAGCATGGTTTGAATCATCAATGAACTTCTTCTATAGTGAAAGGAGCAGCTCCAGCTCCGGCGTTTTGAGGTGTTGGACCACCATTGCTATTAAAGACTCTACCACTCATTGTAATCATCATTTCATTTTATACTCGTAGATATGAGTAGTTTAGAATAGTAGTAATTTACTTGCTTAGCATATATATATATATATATATATATATATATATATATATATATATATATATATATATATATATATATATATATATATATATATATATATATATATATATATATTAGCAAATAAGGTATCTTCTTATAATATGTTAGTGTTTGTGTATATATTATAACAATTTAGATATCTATCATAAGTTATGTTATCACATACCTCTCCATTTACATTTAGCTTCTAAATATAAGTTTAAAATTTATCAAAAATCCTAGTTCACTTAAACTATGCTCATGCTCTGATACCAACCATGACATCCTTCATTTTTTATAACTAATTAAAAAATTTTCTTTACACTTTAAAATATTAAGTTGTCTTTGTTGCCAAAAATCCCAGTTTAATAAAACATTTTTAGATAAAGATGTTTCGTTATATTAAAATACCAAGGATACCATAATTAATATCCAACATAGATTACAACGTAAATACTTAAAGGTCATGAAAACTATTACAGTCTTATCTATTATTTCACTTGACTCCTAATTAGTTCCCAGCAACATTAGTTTCCTTAATATGCTAATTACAACGTAATTCACAAGTTCACCTATAATAATCTTGTGTTGTCATCCTACTCTAAGAGATGATGCATACATACCTGCCAGTTATCTGATCTAGATTCATCATTTCTGGTCATCCAAAAAAGGGAGAACTACTACGCGAAACTCTAATCTCACATATTACCCCACTATGAGATCATTCAACTATTCAACTTAGTTTGAACGAAACATCCTTTATGAGCATTAGTTTATAACTAGGCAAGATTATAATATAAGAAATGTAATTCTAACACAAAATACAAATAGTAAATCGTTAATACATATTTAATCTTTTGAGCAATAAATACTTTTATTGATTTTGAGAGAGAGAGAGAGAGAGTATTTTTTTTCTTTTTCAGATTTTGGTAGTAAAAAACTAAAAAAAAAAAATATCTAAGGGAAAAATCTTCATTTTATGAAAAATCAAAACAAAATTGACCAAACTCATAAGATGAAACTTTTGAACCATCCTTGCGAGTACAAATTTGTTTGGATCGAACTTGCTAGTTTTGACATCCGATAGGCACTATTCATGCAAATTTGTCTATTTATAAGGCTGGAAGGAATGGTGCCATTGAAACCGCACTCTCTCCTATGCCACTTAGACATCAACTCATATTTTTTTTCGTATTTCATCAATTTGAAACCAATGTGAGAGTGGGAAAAAAGTTAGAAGAGAGAAAAGAAAAAAGAAGATGATTGGTTGAGAAAAGAGAGAGAGCAAGTAAAAGAGGGGAAAGAGTAAAGGGAGTGTGACCATGGACTACCACACTGCCCGTTTTGACCGCAGGAAACTACACCCTGAGGGCAGTGTTTGCGGTCCACATGACAGCATTGCGGTTTGGAACCGCACTCTACGCCCTACACCCTAATGAATTGGAAGCTTGGAAAGAAATCAAGAATTAAAAAGAGACGTCAAAGAAGCGGACCCACGCGTCACATGCCTAGGCCCCATGACCGACTGCGAAGAGTCTCCGGCTCCCATTCTTTAGGTTTTGTTTTTATATATTTTATATTTATATTTATATTTCACATTTCTTCTGTTTCATTTCAACAACGAGGCGTATTTAACCACCACACGCCGCCTGTCTATGCTTTCATCCCACCACGTTAACCTTCAATCTCTTTCTCTTTTTCTCTCCCCCTTCTCTCAAATCAAATTCAAATCTCTCTGTGAATTCTCACTTTTTATCAATGGGTTTACAGAACCAACTTACCGATGTTTCCTCCGATTCCTTACCAATTTTCCTACTCGCCGTCATCGCCAACGGCGTTTGTTACATCCGCTCACTCGTTTTCACCTTCCTCCACTCATTAGGAATCTCTCGCTACCGATCCGATGAGGTCGACGACGCTATGCTGTTCGACGCCGTTGGCTCTGGTTTAGCCGGACTTATCCTCCTCGCCGATCAGCTCAACCTAAACCGTGTTTTCTCTTACAAATACAGCTTGTGTTCAGACCCTCGACCGGATCCGGCCTCTTCAGAATGTGTCGTGTGTTTGAACCGCCTCACCGACGGTGAACAAGTCCGGAAGCTAGACTGCCATCACGTCTTCCATAAGGAGTGTTTTGACGGATGGCTTGATCATCTCAACTTCAATTGTCCGCTTTGTAGGTCGCCGTTGGTTTCTGATGAGCGCGTGGCCATTACACGCCGCCGTGTGACGGATGATGTCGTTGATTGGTTCTCCTTTAGATGATGAATTGAAGCTACATATACATACTTGAATGATGAATCTGTGATGATATTGATAATTGATAAGGTACTCGTGAGCAGAAATAGTCAAATTTTCAGAGGTAATGCTGTAGTGACAGGTACTTGACGCATGAATAGTTGTCCGTTAGTCTGGATTTGGTAATTACTGCTCTAGAAAAAAGGTCTCCGCCATGTTTTTACCTGTTCCAGAGGTCTTTTTTAACGCCTTGATGCAGGGTTTTTTCTTTGGAAAGGGTTGATGACAATTTTTGATATTTGACATCTTTTTAGGGTTTTTCTTTCTTTCTTTCTATGTTTCGAAAAGGGATTTTTGGCTGTGGTTTCTTGTTTCACTGTTCCAAATGTTTCTTTCTTCTGATCTTCTCAAATGTAATGTTATAATTCAGATCGTTTACTGCAATTTAACTGTTCAGTGTTTGTAATGTTAAAATTGAAATAATAAAAATTTAAAATTATTTAATAAATATTAAGTGAGAGAAAATTAACAAAAAAGTTCCATTAAAGATGCTTATTATAAAAAAAAAAAAAAAAAGCGTAGTGATTAATCACAAAAAATGCCAGAAATTGGAAATCTTTACTTTTTAAACTTATAAAAAAATTACATTTTTAATATTTATAATAAGCGACAAGTTTTCTAGTAAAATTGTTTTTAGTGGCCTCCATCATAATATTTCGCAAAATAAGTATTTTCATGAAAAGAAGTCGACATATTGATTATTATTTAGACACTCGTGAGTCGTGAGGTCTAATATAACTCTCTGAATACTATTTTTCCTCAGAATTTAAAGCTAAAACCTATAAATAAAAGTAAGTTTTTTAGACTCGAACATTGCGTGTTTAACTTCAAATATCGTGTATCTTAATCAATTTTATTGTACATAATTTTGTTTAGGGTTAATATTATAATAGGATAATAGTGACTTTTGGGTTATCACTTGATCTTTTAAGTGTAATTTTGTCAATTTTTTTTTTCTATTTTTTTTTCTATTGTACAAGAAAGGTTGAGAAAAACCGTGACATCGATAAAACCATAACCGCATTCAAAACATCGGTTTTGGGTTTAGATTTTTCAAAACCCAAAAATTCGGTTCATTCAAAGTGACAAAATATGAGAAAGCGCCCATGACAAATCAACACACGTTTATACATTTTTGAATTTAATACTTTCGGTTTCCTTGCACCAGAAGCTGTGAAGTTATTCAATAGAGTCCAATGAGTCATGAATTGTAATGTTATGACCCCAAAATCTATAGATGTTTTTAAAAGAATTAGTTTTGTCATCTAAAAAGAGATTACGACACAGTTTGTTGTTCGTTTACCTGCTACGACTATGTAAAATTTTCTTCTTTAATTAATTCACAAGTGGTTTGTACTGAAATCAAATTGACAAAATGAGTTTTTATTTTTGTCATTATTTTTTTTCTATTATACAAAAAAGTTGAGCAAAACCGAGAAACCGATAAAACCCGAATCGAATCCAAACCGTTAGTTTTGGGTTTAGATTTTTCAAAACAGAAAAATTCAGTTTGAGTTTAGAACCGCCCGACTAAAACTAAACTGACCAAATGGGTTTGAAACTGACCCAAACCCAAGAAACCGATGTAGCATACTCTCTCAGTCGAATATTTATTCAGTCGTATATTTATTGTTCTTTTTTTTTTGGAAGTTTTTATTCTTCGACTGTGACGTTAAATATTTTTAATTTTGATATATAATACTTGATACAAAATAAATAAATGAATTATGTTTTAAATGTCTTTTTATTGTTATAAGTTTCATCAAATAATTTTTAATACAAATGAAAATATTTAAGCTCAAAGTTAAATAATAAATAGTTTAAAAATCAAAAGTGGATAATAAATATGAGACGGATGAAATATATATTTATTAATTATTTAATTACTTAATATACTTTTAATAAACGTTTTTTGTTTTATTAAAATAATAAATATAAAAAATTTGAAAAGCATGACCCCCCCTTCTCTCTCTCTCTCTCTCTGTGTGTCACGTGTGTGACACGAGCACAACTGCATCACAAAGACACGAGCCACATCCGATAGTCAGTAAATCGCCTAGTTGATTCGTGAATAACAAACAAGTGAGATAAAAGTTCTATTCTCTCATTTATAGCCTCTCGAGTCCCAATGCAAGGAAGACAATTAGGCTAGAGGTGCACAAAACCCGAATCCGATCTGATCCGGTTTCGCTTACGTCATCAAAAATTCGATCCAGTCAAAATCTGATCCGGATCCGGTCACCGATCCGGTTCCAACCAAAATCCGAATCCAATTCTAATCCGATTTAAAACCGGTTTAAACCGATTTTAGTGGGTTTTAATCGGATTTTGGGCGGGTTTGGATCCGGGTTTTTGCGAATCCGGTTTATGATTCGATATCAAATCCGATTTGGAATATAGGATTACGATCCGACTGAAAATCTGGTTTTAAATCCGAACCGATCCGGTTTGGTCAAAACCGGTTTTGACCAAATCCGGATTCGGATTGGATCCGGTTTTGAATAGTCAATCCAGTTTTTGTGTGCATCTCTAATTTAGGCTTTGAATTTGTTTTATTTTGTTTAGAATTGCTGGAAAATTGGTTGAATCCCAAAATCCATTGACACATAGGCTGGGGCCAAAAATTGAAGATATCGACCCATAAACCCAAAAACCGAACCCATTAAAAACATAACCCAATAGGTTTCAAAACCCGAAACCAAATTTTCCTCATTGGATTCAGTTTCACCTCCAAACCGATCCATACACATCCCTAATATTTAGGTCTATATAGACTCACTTTGTCTCCATTAGGCCATCTAATATGACGTAATTAATAGGATGGAAAAAAATCCCCATACACAATGGGGGACCCAAAAACCACACCTAATTTGATCGGAAAATCCCCAAGTTAACCGGAGATGGGGCATCCCCAAATAAATAAAAATGGAGATGGGGATAATGATAGGGATACCCCTAATCCCCAGCCCTGGACCTGATCCAGTAGATATTAGTATATAAAAATCAAATAAAATAGACAATTATAGTAAACTTTACTATACTTTAAATTAGATCAAAGTAACCCAATCGTCTATAAGTTTCCTAAATTTGTGATTATCCTCTACCACAATCGTTATTTACGCAAGCCTATAATTAGCTATATTAATCAACTATATACAAAAACATGAAAACAAACATGGTTTCCTAAAATGCTTGGTACTATTGGTTGTATCCTTTGAGGTTGAGTAATTTGTCATAATGCGTGGTGTGGTCAATTTATGCGAGGTGATCAAAAGCAACCGACAATAATTTTAGAAGCAGTGGCATCGTATGACATTTGGATTTGGCATGCATTTTTGGTCTACCGGGTGCCAACAACGACATCAATGTTCTAGACCAATCAACGATATTCAACTACATCTACCTTAGAAAATGGGTCGTCATACAAGCGTGTGTATTACGTTACTAATGGAATATATCCTGAGTTAGCAGTATTTGTGAAGTCATTCACATGTTCAAATGGTGACAAGCAATTAAGTTTAAGTCGGCACAAGAATCTGCCAGGAAAGGATATTGAACGCGCATTTTATGTCCTAAAGAGATGTTGATAGATACTTACAGTGTTGGTGATTTTGATCATCAATGTTATTTAAGTGTAACGAGATTACTTTGTGTTGACCAAAACTGATCTTGATAAATATTAAACAAGTAAGGAAGGTGTGGAGTACACATTTGTTTAAGTTTGATCAAGTTTCAAAGTACACTATCATTTAGGGGCGAAGCCCCTGAACGAACGGGGGTCCGGGGGCAACGCCCCTAGGAGCGGGGTCCAAGGGGCGGCAGCCCCTGGCTGGGATCGATTTTCAGTTTTTATGGTTTTTATGGCTGGGATCAATTTTATATAGGATATGTTACTATATTAAAAAATGCATCAGAAAATTGATTTTCAGATAATTGATCATTGGTTTGATCCTTATCCATATATCCGTTTTATGGCAGTTTTATGGTTTTATGACAGTTTAAAACTGTCATATGACAGTTTTCAGACAAAGATATTAAAGATGGTTTTGGTCTTATTTTCTGGTACATACGAAAATATCATCAAACATTCTCGGTTCTTGTCTCTCTGAGTCTTATCCAATTGAAGATTTGGGAATACTACCAAATACTTCGATTTGAAAGTGATAATCACAATTCTCAGAATTTTCAAGCCTTTCTACACCCAAATTTCTAACATACAGTACCAGTACGATCTATGGGTTTTCTTAAAGGATGTTGTGAAAAGAAAATCAATTCGATAAGCTTTTATTCAATTACAGTTCAATTCAATCTAACCTGATACGTGATGAATGGCCCTAAGCTATTTAACATATTTGATACCACAACTTCGATAAAGCAAAAGCGAATTAAAAAGCAACTACGAGTAATAAAGGGTAATGTTTGCAAGTGGTTGAGTTGGTTGTAATGGATACAAAGCAAGTTGTCACACTCTTTCTTGTTGCCTCCACAACAAATTATGCAACTTGATGGTATTAACAAGTGGTGTGGAGTTTGCCATATGCCCCTTAATTCTTTTATTTGTTTTTTTAATCTTATTTTGCTATTTTTATAATAAAAAACTGATTAACAACAACTACCTAACAAACACTCAAAATACATTCAAAACACAAAATATTTATACAAATAAAACATGTTTGTAATAAAATAGGTATTGAAAACAAAGATGATTTTATCTCATAGCCTTTTAACATATAATCTTCAAAATCGAAAAAAAAATTATCAATAATAACTCGAATCTGTATATACCAAAAACATAAGCTAGATGAAAAAAAACTTGATGTTGATGTAACTACTCATCACAATTTCATAAATTTATAAGAACAATCGTTTATCATGCTTAAAATAGTTATTTCTTATAATATAATACGATTTCTTAAAAAAAAAAAAAAATTAAGAACGATATATAGTATTATTTGTACCTTAAAGCT